GGAGAGAGACATATGAATAAGGTTACAATAATGTTAATGTATTATGTAAGTATTGGAATTTCGCAATCTTTATTTATTTTAAATATAATATTTGTGATATTTCCATTATTTATTTAGTTTCAATGATTTTAATATTATATTTCCTGAAAAACTACAAATAAAATAATTTTATTAAGTATTTAGAAGAATCAATAATCCAGGAATAACTAAATATTATTGGATTACATGGTAACCCTCAGGAAGCCATCACCTCCATCAACAGTTGTCATTGACGTGGGTTTAATCCCGTAGTGACATTCTGTTGATCGAAGCTGAATGACGAAGCAGCCAACAATCTGGGCCACCTGTTGTAGTTCTGCCAAAACTACTGTTTTATGATGCAGCTGTCTTCTCAACATAATTTATGTTTTTTTGATCATATCTGATCCGAAATTCATTTTGAAGACAACAAAGAAAAAAAACCACACAATAAGTTTTAATTTAAAATATAACATGATACAATGTTTTTAAATTCAAATATTATTAACTGAAAATATTGTACTCACTCTTTTCTAAATCAAAATTGAAAGTTCGACAAAAACTAAATACTTACACTTACCTACTCAAACCCACCTGGACTTACGCCTCTCAGATTTAAGGTTCGGCAAAAAAGAAGCATATACAAAAACTACAGTCATTCCAATCCAAAATAACAGGAGCTCCCTGGTACGTCAACAACAAAACTTTACATAACGACTTAAGACAACCAACTATGGACCAACACATTCGTACTCTCTACTCTCGTTTTCATCTCAAACTACACGGACACACAAACAGATTTATAACCGACATGGCTACGACTGACATGCCCATTAGGAGGAGATCAAAAAGGAGTTGGATGAAAGATCTTCTCACCTAAATAAAAAAATAAATAAATAATGACCTGGAATAGGTACTGCTGGGTAATATCCTTCCTCATGCCTTTAATGCCTATCCTCATCATCAGAACACATCTGCTGATTGTCAACACCATGACAGGTGCGGATAAATAATTAAAGAGAAAAAAATATTATTAACTAATAATAATATTATTATCAAATAATAAAGTGAGTTTTTGTATAGTTCTTTGTACTACAACTCTTGTTCATGTCTACTATGACATCATCCATGCGACATATTTAAATTTACGTTTCGGACTAAAAGTCTAAAAAAAAATCCAACTACATAAATCCGGAAGCTGTACCCATCCTAAGGGAGTTCAGACCATCAATTGCATATCTTCCTAAACACCATGGTTGTCAACGACTGTTAAGGAAATTGAAGTCTACAAATATTCAATGATGGAGTAGTAATGAGATGCCTTTCTACCACGAACAATACTCAAATCTTTCAGATAGTGACATGCACCAATGAATGGAACGAAATCTACTTGCCAGAAGCTGCAATATGTAATAAAAGACGCCACTGATCTTTAAATATTCTTAGAAATCAATATACCTAACATTCTATCATAGTGTTTAAGTAGGTATGCAAATACAGTCTATTATGATGGATATGGTTTCTCAACTTCCACCATTATTTTAAATTAATTTGTTCTTTATTTTAGTGTCATTAGTTATATTTAGTTTAAGTATTAACTATTCATATTCAACACATGCGATGTACAATATAGATACAACGTACAATATGAAACTAACTAAAATGTAAGACTACTGAAAAGATATATATATATTTTTAATATATTGAGTTATATCGTTTTAAAGCAATCACGAGATCTCTCTGAGTCATTTGAACCATATATCCTAAATATTGGTCAAACTTCTCACTTAATAATTCGCTACAAACTCTATAACGGACAAATTCAACACTTTCCATGCATTAGATTATTATTGCTTTTAACTCAAACAGTTTGAAACACTATTGGGACCGCCATAATTGTGAGTAATTTGAGCCGTTAAACTAAAAAATCGGTCAAGTCGTTAGCTCAAAAAAGCGTTACTTAGCTAGAAGCAGTAAAACCAAAGACATACCCCTGCTTTTGGCTTGGCCGTTGTCGAAAAATAAGTAGAACAGATGATCCTCAAAAAACAAATACTTAATATTCTTTAAATGTTCGAACCACTTTATTAAATGCTAATCAATCAACTGTAAACCCTACAACTGGAGCAAGGATGTGGCGATTAAAAAAAAAAATAATTGGGTTAAGCACTCCTAAGTATGCCATGTCACAAAAAGTTATCAACACGATTAGAATTATCTCATCGCATGCTGCAGCGTTTAACAGATCGGACCTAGTTTTCCAAAGCTCTGTTAACATTGTCCCAAATTTAGGTAATTATATAAAACAATAAAACTAATTAATTGATTATATAATATTCCGTCTATATATTTAATTACACATTTTATATTCCCACAGAATCCGGTTGGTATTTTCCTTCTATTTTTTCAACGATATTATTTCTTCATATCAAGATCTATTGAATCAAATGTTGAATAATGGTAGAGAACCCACGGAACTACATTTGTAAATAATAAAAAGTATATTTTTATATTAGTTTTAGTATGATAAAAATAAACTTAATTAGTATATATTTTCTGAAATCTATTCTTTTAAGTAAATATAAACTAAATAATAAAACTAAATGGCAGATATAAAAGAATATGGAAACTAATTCAACTATATTTGTTTTTAGAAAAGGAATTTTAGTATAATAAATTTACTGATAATTTCTGGTAATTATTCTGCCAAGAATCAACTTTATCGGTCAAAAAAACATTAAAAATCAATTACCTACTATGTGATTATGTTGTTTGGAAATTTCACCTGGCAACAAGAGAAAGATAGAATTGATGTTTGGAAATTGAATCTTCATGTTCACCCTCCCACGACAGTGTCACTAGAGAAGTTCCGCTATTGCAATCAATACCACACAGCTAAGATAAAATACGTAAGTAATATTTCATGTATTCCTGCTGCCACGGAATAATAAATAAGTAGGAATCAATATAGTTTGGTTCATTTATTTGAGTTTTATTAAATATAATATTGGTATATTGTAAAAAGTCACTAAGTACATTTTTTGTGGTTCTGATCATTTTGTTATCAATCATCGGTATTTAATTTAATAATTAAATTTATTTACTTTCAAGGCAAGCCTTTATTTGTATCATCTGTAGGCGAACGGCTTATTAAGTGTACCATGCCTCTTTGGTAGTGATTAATGTTTTTTTCTGCTGTTTAAATTCTAAATTCACTATTTTGTATATATTAATACGTATTTATAGTAGTACTTATATTAAATTATTGTTACATAGTTTTTCTCTCGATTTTTACTCAATTTTATGATAGGGAATCCAAACATGTTTATTTTAATAATTTACTTTAAAAAGCAATTAGCAAAATGTAAAAACTGAAATATTAAAATTCACTACATCTTTTTTAAAACAATCACTTATTCAAATTAATCTTTAATCAGATTCGTTTTGCCGATGACGCGAAAGGCACACAGACTCAATTAAAAGATGAGTTATCGTCATCTTTATGTTTTTTTTTTATTTCACACACATGACATTTTAAAAAATTAAATTCAACCACAAATATCCAAGAAAAACTAAAAGTGTAACGCGAGGGACCACAGTATTACAAGAAATTTGAAAAAGTACCAGGGTCATAAGGATCAAAGGCAGATATCAATGTAAATTATGATAATAAGGATTAGGATAAAAAAAATAACTGCCATCACTACGACATCCCGACTTTTAAGACCCTTTGAGACAGTCTGAAAACCGAGGATGGTGTATTCCGTGTACCAACGAGAACGCTAGAAGATTAATAAACTATTTCATTACTTTACCAATAATCTTCATCTGTATATTAGCCAAGAATTCTATAAGTATTTACTTATGCGTGAATAAAATATCGATTATTTCATATGTTTTTTTTTCGTATATTCGCCATCAGCGGTAGTAAAGTAATTGTCAGAATGACGACTCATTCATTGGTTTTGATGAACCACTAAGAAAGACATGGTGCTCTAGAAAAAAAAAAAATAATAAGAAACTTAGCTTAATAATACTTATTCCTCTTCTTCGTTCTTTCAACTAAATTGTCACGCCATGTGTAACAATGAGGAAATCAGTTGTTCTCCTGAGGTCCTCCAGTGTTCCATAAAGTTTGGTTTCAAGAAATTTCGGTCAGGCCAAGTCTTCCTTCTAGCCTCATTAAGAAAGACAACTCTGAAGAACATGTTCAGCTATTTGTTCTCTTTTTTCTCACATCTGCCACACTTACATAAGGGGCTATTCATAATTCTGTTGTTTTTTTTCTTCTAAAGGTGAGAATTCAGCCAGTTGTAGTTGGTCCTAAATCTGAATATCTTTTCTGTTTAATTTGTGTTAGGGGTCTTGGGTGCTGCTGTGGGAATGTTTGGTGTTTTCCTCATCGCAGCTATTTATTCTCTTTACCTCGTCCATGGAGAGTCGGTAATCCGTCTGTCGTTGAAGAGATTCAATCCCTGCCTATTTGTCAGCTTTCTCGTTACGTCTGATACCACAGTGTGTAGAAATCTATTGCAAAAACAAATTTTTTGCTAGTGTAAACAATACTTATTTATACTGGGATATTGCGCTGATTATCTTGGGCACAGATTCAGTTTTAAATTAGTTTTTCTAAGCGAAATATACGTCTCATCGAAGATTGAGAGTTTGTGGATCATCTTTAGGTGATCAATGACTTTGACGCTGAATCTCAAAAGAAATTACCCTTGATTCTTGTTCTTTTGGTGGCTCAAAATAGTATCTTTAGTTATAAAACACAAAAAACTACAAGGAGTCATGGAATGCTACATAATGGATCGAGAGCCATCTTATTGAAAATGTTCAAAGCTAAAAAAACCTCTCTAGAATAACAACAATACCCGAAGAATAAATTTTTGTAAATCTTAAAGTGTTCGAACCATTAATTCGTCTTAATCTTTGAGAAAATCATTAAGAGACAATTGGTAGGATCCCCTCCAAGAGCCATGGCAAAGTTAGAAACGTGCAGGTCTACTAATGGAAACGCTGCAGTTTTAGAGGAATGTTCTAAGTGGAAGAGAAGAGCAAGCGTAAGCGGACTCTGTTCCAGGGACGATCGCTGGTAATGAGATTTGGCGGAGAGGGGGGCTGGGGAATATAATTAGGAAGGGGGGGCTGAAACTTGCCTCCGCGGGCCAAAGTGCTCTTCTTCAAAGCGGCTATTTTGTCCAAGCCATTTATTCAATTTTTATGAAGCGAATGAAAAAGCGATGTCCTAAATTTATACGTTGATGATTAAGAAATTTTATTGTATATATATTATTTTTATGTTTAATTTATTTTATTTATTGTACATAGAGTGTGAATGTGATCTCTGAACACTATTATAAATATCCTTTGAGACAGATTGTAATATTTTTCAATAAATAAGTTATTGGTTTAAAAAAAAAAAATCTTGCTATAACGTCTTTTGGTAATATTATTTGAACATCATTATTATGGTACCATAAAACAAGATTTAAGGAATAAATATTTATTTATTAATAGAAACCAAAAAATGAAAATCATAAAAAACAATAAAATCTTATATAAATACGAGTAATAGATTTTTTTTCTAAGCAAAATAAATCATCATCTCAAATTTAAAATAAAGAAAGAAAAAAAAAATTAAAATATACAAAATACAAATTATTTTTTTTAAGACAAAGCATTTTTTTTTAAATAAGCCAATAGAAAGATCTTTAGCTGTTTTTAAAAAATATTTTGTTTAAACTAGTGCTTTTTTAAAAAAAAAAAAGGGGAGAATAGGATCAGAAAATGGAAATATATATATATATATATATATATATATTTACAACTTTTCTTTAATCGACCTTTGAGTATTAAATTTAAATATAACCATTTTAATTGGGAATAAGGTCACCTATTAATTATTTAATAAACTACAAAATGTTCATTTTATCTGAGTTTATTGAGTTTCGATCCCGGCATTTTTCTTTTTATAAGTTTATCATGCGATCCTCTTCAAAGTTTTCAAAAAATAGAGATTCCATACCTCAGGCCAAGGACACACCGACAGTCTCAGCACCGTCCACCAGCCATATATTAACCTACTCGTTTATATATATATATAATATACTTAAAAATGAATGAAGTTGAAAATGAACGTTCAGGATAAGAGAAAAATAAATAAATAAGACCTCATAAATATAACAATAGGGCTATGCATAAATTATATTTTCTTTTAATGATTTATCGATTTTATTGAGTATTAATACTGTCTGCTACACTGAAGGCCATTGAAACTGAGGATAACGAATTTACACAATTTGTACATACAAAAGAAAAATAAATATAAATAACTAAAGTAAATAAGATAAAGAGAATTAATATACATATATAAAAGATAAATGAAATAATTTTTAGATGCTGAATGTTAACAAAATAAATAAAACACATTCACACCTATGTACAATATAAATTATAAATATAAAAGAGAATTAACACAATCAGAGTTTTTATTTCAAGTTACTAAAAATAATATACATATTATCAAGCCAACTCATAAGAAAAATTTCAGTATGAACGAGAAATTCCTTGGCAAAGTGATCCACCATGATTCCTACAGGCAGTCGTCATTTGTCGGTAATTGGTTGGGTAGGGCTGGAAGAAGGTCTATTGTTATAGGCCGAGATTGGATCTTCTACTTCTCCCGGTCCTTCTGGAGCCAGCACGAACGAATATTTGATTTGGCAGGCTGGAATTGGTTGCGTGATTCGGGAGGAAGCTTGAGGATTCAGTTCTCACCAAATGCCTCTGGAGTGAAGAAGTATATTTGTTCCTCTTGAATTTATTCATGAAGGGGCACTTAAACCACGGATAAATGGTGGAAACTAATAAATAAACGTTTTAGTTCAATATTTGATATACAAATTGAAATTATATTTTCAATGCAGTAAATAACTTGGTTTATTAGCTAAAGGACATATTAAAAAAAATCTATAGGTAATTCAGTGATTCATTAGGGAGCAACACTGCAATACATTCATAATATTAGCGCTGATCATCTATAATTTAATATAAAATTTCACCACTAGTTCAAATAAATAGTTGCATATCTCTGTTTTGGAGAAACCAAAACAATTCAAAATTTAACTTTTACTTGTTTGATATATTTGTGAGCGCAAATCGGTGATTCTTATGTTAGGAGCGATTTTTAATCTATTACAACATTAATCATTTAGTTAAATCCAAACCGGATTCCTCTTCAATGCTTTTTGTTGTTATCCTCATTCACATCGAACAGAATCCTGTTAATCATAAAGTAGACAAAAACTATATTTCTTTAACATATAGACACATTTTAAATCTTATAAGTGAAAAATAACTTAAATAATCTATTCTATTATTTTTATCTACTCTCAATTTTTATTAATTAATTCATTTAATTGTTCATTATTCTAAATATTTCTTCTTTTTATGATCTTTTATTTGATTCTAAATTTACATTTACACTCTAGATCAATGTATGATCATCCTTTTTCCACTTTGTATTCATTTTATTTATTATCCATGTCTCAATATTATCTAATATTCAAATATGTACTACCAAATATAATTATAATTATTAATGTTTTCCTTCTCTATACTTCTAAGTTAGTTCTGCAATGTATGTATGTAAATGAAGTTATTTCTATATTTATATTGTACTTTTGCCAATTTTGGTTTATTCACATTGTACTCTGATCTATAATCTTTCAATTCTATTTTGTATGTATATTTACATATTTATAATTTAATAATTCATAGATATAGTATTTTTCCATTATATCCATCCATATCTTCAAATTTTAGATAATGTAATTCCCTAGGTTTTTCCCAATTACCCACACATGTTAGCTTCCTCTATACCTGCTCTTACCCTTGGTTTTCCAGATCTAAGTGAAACCCCTAGCTGAACACACCTGTAAGTCTCTAATTTTATTCTTCCATTTTATCTACTTATTAATCTAATTTTGGTTTCCTTTTTTTCTTTTGTTTCTCCACATTTCTTTATGTCTATTATTTCATATTATATCCTTTTTGCTTTTCTCTCAATCTCTCCTGTGAATTTGTAAAAGTATATTCACATTTTCATTTATTATATATTACACTACAACAATTGTTAGCATCTATTTACTTCAGTTTAGGATCTTGTTACTCAGCTTACTTTGTTGATATTTTATTGTACTTAATGTTTATAATTTTAATAAGCTTATTCACATTGTTTTAAATTATGTCTAAATATTATGTAACTGCCACAATTCTCTATCTTCATGTATCTTGTCCGTTCTAGCCCTGAAGAAGACCTGCAAAGTCGGGTCGAAACGTCGGCTTTAAATAAAATAGTTTTACCACTATTTAGCCTATTGATGACCGCAACCCCGGACCATCTCCTTCCTTTATTATGCATTATTATTAAATATCCGCTCTCGATGTTTGCAATCATGTTCAGTTTTTTTATTGGTTTTCATTTCATGTAATTCTTATTTACCTAACTATAATGACTTTAAAAATTACTTTTTTCACAAAAATATTTACTATTGATATTTATACTTTGAATTTTGTCCCGTTTAATTGGCTAGAGACAGCCCAATGTGCGGCGCTGCAAGTATACCTCGCCGCATTACAAACTCTCAGGGAAGTCAGACAGTAATCATTAAAACTTTTATATTTAATGTAAAAGTTTTAATGACCACTATCAGACTGATGTTAAGTGAATCATAAAATTGCAAAGTAAGGTAAATTATAACTAAAATAGAAGTCAATAGGAATTACTCCAAACCTGAACCAATAAATAACCAACTTCAGAAATTGCCATTAAGTTTCGTACACTGATCTACACATCTAACCTGTGATTGGAATCCAGGCCCACTACAAATAATTTCGATTGGTATAACGACGTACTAAATGATCAAAAAAAGAAAAATATTTTCAAATAATTAAAAAGAAGTAAAATCTTTAAAAAGAGCTATTGATATTAACTCAATATATTTATAAATATTTCTAGTTTTTAGTTATATTATTTATTATTATTATTTTTTTTTTATGAATCTACTTTTATTGAAATATTTCGCATGTTCGAGATTCGTCGAGGTTCTCATGTGAGAACCAGAGCTAATCAAACAAGTAAATGAAGATGAATCAAAATCTATTATAGCAAGCTGGGAATTATATTTCTATTTGGTGTGTGAGAAAAAAATGCAAACAACAAATGTATGTAAAAGAAAAAACTTAATGTTTCAATGAGCTGTAAAACTATCTATCTATCTATATATATTTATTTATTTATATGTCGAATTCCATGCACATGAATGGAATTGGATAAAAATGATCATAAACCATTTGTGTCCTAGTCTACAACTTTAATAAAACTTTGGGCGAAATCTGACTAGCCGTTATTAAAATTAAGGCAAGCTAAAGAAAATATGTGTATTCATCATCAAGCGAAACACAAATAAATTTCAAACCCAGACATTTTAAAACCCTGATAATTTCATTTAAATCAGATTAACAAATATATTATAACCTCCTGGAGCCAAGCTGTTTGCTTCCCACACGTGAAAGACAAATCCAGGGCTCGTCATCTCTAGTGGAAATGTAAATATTGTATAAAGGTATGAATAAGCTTTAGAAGAACTTTGTTTATTTATTTTATTTTTTATTGTTATTAATCTTTCTTTAATTATCTCAATTTATTTTTCTTGTATGTATATATTGAATGAATGGATACTTTTAGCTCTGATTCATATTGCACTACATTGTGGAAGATTGTGTTAATATTCAATAAATATATAAAATAAGAAAAAAAATAGACATATCATGCCTGTCATTGGATTTGATTGCAGTGATGCATGAAACTAAATTAATTTTTCGATGTATAAAACGATGGAGGATATTTTCGATTTTATATATATAAACGAAGCTTCTATTCTTTCGGTAATGAGAAAGCAAAATAAAAATATTCAAGCATCTATAATTTAATGTAATTAATTTCTTAAATATTGGTTAGAAGAAGACTTTATTTTTCAAAATTTTATCTTATCGCAACTGTTATCGGTCGCTGTAACAATAACAATAATAACCGGTAGTCTATTTATTACGGAAGTTTTGTAAAGATGCCGCTTGGTCGGAAACTAATTAACCTTATTACTTTGTTAGTTTAAGATCCAATTACCAGCTAATCCCCTTCCTAGAGGCCCTAGCCCAAGCACAGATTTTCTCCTAATTAAGGCCTCCAGGCTCAGTAAATATAGTTTATGTCCCTTTATTACCTCTTGTATTTTCCTAATTAATTAGAGCGAACGTTATTTAATTTATATAAGCCATGATTCTCTGAGCTCAAATAAATAAATCCGTTACTGACCCAACACCATAACATTAAGCGGAACTTTACTACTGAAGTTGATCTTCAAATCCAGTAAGAAGCCTGACTGATTATTATTAAGCCTGATTTTATTATAATTATCATATTATCAATTATTTTTTTATTTTAATCGCTTTGTTTTCTTTTCTGTATACCTATTTTTTTTTATCTTTTGTTCAATTAAAAAAAATATTAAGTTTCCCATTATTTATGGAATTTAAAAATTTATAAGATACATATTATTATTTAGAGGGGCTCCAGCATATCTCCTCCCCTTTTTAGTTCATATATTAACGATCTTCATAAATCAATCCTTCACTGTTCCCATCTCCTTTATGTCGATGATACCCAAATTTACCTCTCCTTTGCTCCCTCTGAATGGCATGATGCGTTTGCCAAAATACAAGAAGACCTAAATCGGATTTATGCCCGGGCAAGTGAAAATGGATTAAGGTTAAACGCTGCTACAACCCAAGCCATTGTCATTGGTTCCAAACCCCTTCTCAGATCCAATACCAACATTCCTCTCCTGTACCTAAATGACCAACCCATCACCTTCAACTCTTCAGTTAAAAACTTTTTCATACATCAAACCTTCCTCTACACTGGTCGGTAGTGTTACCCGAATGCGAGACCGAGGCGAGTCTTAGTCTTACAAACTCAGTATTGGTCATGGTCTTGGTCTTGCCCAAGGGTCTTGTAGCTACTTATTACGATTTTTTTTACCAGTCCTGGTCTTGGCCTTGCCACAGTTAGGCGGTTTTGGTCTTGGTCTTGCTCTTTGCAAAGACCGATTTTGATCAATGCTACTGGCCGGTATTGGGTGAATTCACACATTTTCTTATATTTTTTTTATGAATAGAATGGATGAGACATTAATAAGTTATGTAAATAAAAATATAAGTTTTACGAACTCCTATCTCACAATTTTCCTTTATTTTGTAATCTTTATGTTATGTGTACGTTTCGGCCTACGAGGCCTAGGATTTTAAAAAAAGATCCATTAAAGTAGTATTATATTTAAGGGAAGCAAAATGGCCAATATATTAGCAGAGAAATTCTACCTCCTCTGCATTTATTAAGGTTATAATATATTTAAAAAAACAAAAGAGGGTTAAATCAATAGAAAAACATCATATAACTAAATTATGGTAATACGAATAAAACAGCAAAATAAATAAATTAGATAATATTAGGTTTTAACATATTGTAATAACATGTAATAATGTAATCGGAATAGGTTATAAAATAAAATGTTTCAATCGTTTAAATTTATTTAAAGTTAATGAGGTTATTTTGAATCCATTAATTTATTAAGGTTATAATATATTTAAAAAAACAAAAGAGGGTTAAATCAATAGAAAAACATCATATAACTAAATTATGGTAATACGAATAAAACAGCAAAATAAATAAATTAGATAATATAAAGTTTTAACATATTGTAATAACATGTAATAATGTAATCGGAATAGGTTATAAAATAAAATGTTTCAATCGTTTAAATTTATTTAAAGTTAATGAGGTTATTTTGAATCCATTAATTTGTTATTAATATGTTTTTTAAAAGTATTTTAATAAATTTTGTTAGTGATTTAATTTGTCTTTTAAATAAAGTGACCATTGTCTATTCGACATGGAAAAAAGACGATAACAAAATTTAAATAAAAAAAAAAAGACATTATGATAATAAGAATCACAGGTAATTGTTATAAATTATATAATTAGAATATTTTATGTTAAACTTGAATGAATTAAAGAACATAACGGGATCGCTGGAAACGAAGCTACAGATAGTTTGGATAAATCCGCTTCGGTATTTTCTACTGTATAAGGTACCACCTTATAAGAAATATAATTCTAAATGAACATAATTAGCCGCAGAAGGAAGAGGACATCTCCAAGAACTACAATAAGGAGGTGCGGAAATTTACTACTGAAGTTGATCTTCAACTCCTCGAAGAAGCCTGACTGATTATTATTAAGCCTGATTTTACTATAGTTACCATTTTATTTATTATATTTTATATTAATATCTTCGTTTTGTTTTCTGTACATCTATTTTTATTTTTTTATTAATTTGTTTTTATCTTTTGTTGAATTACGAAAATTATTAAGTTTACCATAACCATGTAATTTAAAAATTTATGAGATACATATTATTTTCCATTAAATACATACATTTATTATGCTTAAAGTATGCAACATGTGACATTTAACAAATAACCGGCTCTTATAGAGGGTTACTGTGTATGGGAAGGAGATAAAAAAAGAAAGATTTTTTGAAAAGATAAGTAGAGATTATGTAGAATATTATATAGTTAAGCAGATTGTATGTATATAAATCAGAATTTTTTCAGACGAGCTTATGTTGGCCAATGGGTCAAAACGTACATTTAAAATAATGATTAAAAAATAATGGAAAAGTATGGTACAGTAGAGCCAGAAAACTTCTGTGAACATTGTTTTCAATTTTATTTTGAATTGTTCGCATGCCATAATGCAAACAAACTAATGCTTTTCATTTCTATTCTTATTGAATATATTTTTCATTGGCCCTTCATTTGTGCTGCAACTTTAGAATAATTGTTATATAACATTATTTTTCTATTTCTTGTCGCACTCCCTAACCCTCATATCTTGAAACAATATTTGATATTACTAATTGTTAGCTCCCTCTTAGTTTATGTCAAACTTCGAATGAACCCTAACTATTTTATTGTGATTTAATAAAAGAAAAAAAAGAAATAAAGTGGACTGTATCTTCAAACATTTACAAAATCTAATATTGAAAACATAAAAACAAAATGAATCAATTTTACACTTGTTAGATAGGTAAAAAAATGACAAACTTCTAGCATAAAATGAAGACCACCTGAACAAACAATTGTGACAATATTAATGAAATATTTTCATGCTTGATCATAAATAAAAACTATTTCTATGGTCCAAATTACAATAAAAAACCAACTTCTCTAGAGTCCCAATATGAAATTTATATATATATATATATATATATATATATAACAAATAATTAGATTGTACAACGTTACGTGGATGAAGCAGTACGTTCGTAAGCCTCTGTCTCTATGCAGAAACCAATTGTAACTCTTCAATGAACGTGGTCAAAACGAACTGCAAATGAGCAGCGGCGAGCAAGACGAGAGAAGTACGTCTCTTCACAGTAGAACTGCAGTGGGCAGTGAAGTTGACAGTACTCAGCTCAGTGGCGGACGGAGTCAGACTGTGTATTGTCAATTCTACCGCCTTATGACTAGAACCTAGCACTTGTTTATAGCTAGTGCTACAATCCATAACAAAGTTGTCCAAGCATAAACTATTGATCTATTTTATATAAACAATATAAGCTATGGGCCTATAATACTTGATATACACATATCTTATACATAAATATACACATTATTAATTGATTTCATACTTTCACACTTTGCTAAAATAAAACAAATCAACAATTAATCAAACTAGTTAAGTGAAAAATAAATTGAATTAACGCTGTGGCGTTTTAACTGTAAAAATAAAATAAATGAACGCTGTGGCGTTAACATAAATGCATAGTAACTTTCATCGTTTTATTTGCTTGTTCATAATTAATTAATACTACTTATGGTAATCCGTAGGCTTTACCATTCAATGGTGTAAGTTAATAATTGTACCGTTCCTGTTCGTAAGATCTGTTTAACAGTAGTGAGATGACAGGACTCACAGAAGTAAATCAATTAACCGACAATTATATAATTACTGGACTAGATCGGGTCGCTATACAATTACTCTGTTTCCTGACTGGATACAGAGAGAGAGAGAGCCGTAATGAAAGAGCGAAGACGAAGGGTACAGTGGCCGAAGACTACAATAGAGGCACCACTCAGCACCTGATGAGATCCGCTCCATTGTCTAGAGTCGATAGTGCTTCTTCTTTCTCTCTTCCACCTCTTCTCGAGGGCTTATAAATTCCACTTCTCCCTCCAGTCGATGACGATTCCTATCTGGGATGAGCTATTTCCAGAGGGAGCTCCTGGAGAACTCTTCAGAAGTCTTTGCATTCACAAAGAGCCTCTCCAAGACCATTGTGTAACGTTTAGTCTAAGTTGCTCTAACAATTATTATTATTTATGAATATGGCTCGAATTCGAAGGATTTCTCTAGTTTTGTATGTTTATGAAAAAATAGAGATCTCGAAAGAATTTTGTTCTTGATCTTGGATAATATGTATAAAATACAAAAAACTCCCTGCCTCCATCAATATGAATCTATGATCCAATTGACTAATTATTTATACTTTTATGCTAATTTACTTATTTCCTTTAAACACCTATTTGTCGAAATCAGCTGCATGTTGACGATCAGTAAATGAGCTAATTGTACAGAAAATAATGACATGTCAGTCAATGACATCACCAATGACATGATTCAATTACTTTGATTATTTAAAGAAGAAGATCTTTCATCCAGCGTCTTTTTAATCTTTTCTTCATATTCAGAGACTCATGGTGTTTAGCCAATTCTGATATTAAACTGTTAAAAAATCGTTGGTAAAAGATGGTTGTGTGTTGGTCAACTATTGGCAAGTGGAGGTCAGTATGCAGAATTTTGTTAGCAATGTACCACATTGTCATGAGCTACAATAATTTTCATTGGAAGGTTTTAAATTTTTATGAATCGGTAATTTCGACAACTTTGTTGGCTTTAGTGTGTATACGTATTCAGTTTCAGTTTTGAAAATTAGAAAATTTCTGTTGGAAAACAAATTGGTTCCAATAGCTTGAGTCGTTTGCTAAAAGTATTTTGTTTCTCGTTGACATGAAGGCCATGTAATTTCAAGGTAAAATACCGTGCCCGTCTGAGGAGGTTAGTTGTCAATATAAAGTTTTTTGAAGAGTAAATGTTATATGTTTCAATTTATGATGGTTTTTTTATCCCAAATTAAATCGCTTTAATGAGATGAGTAAAACTCCCTTTATATTCAGGGGTTTTGTTTGGATACATCAGTTACTATTTTCTTTTTTTTTAACAGTAAATAATACAATCTGCCACATTGAAAGGCACCATGTAACAAGGCTAAATTTCGGTAACTTTAAAGAAAATAAAAACCCATTTTGAGTAAAGCAGTAACAAAGTACTTTGGCTCAAACTATATAATTAAAAGCCAAACAATGGAATATTTTATTCCTAAAGATCTTCAAAACACCGGGTTTTCTTCCTTATACTTTTTGTAAAAGTAGTATCATTTCTGTATGGAGTAATGCTAATTGTTGTTTATCAGTCTCAAGTAAATATTTGTTAATGAAATCATAAAGAAGAAGAACATTTATTATAACTTTTGTTATAATACTTACTTTTGTAATTTCATCATTTATTCGATTATAGATTACATCCATCTTAATTCAAATACAAAGCAGTATCTATACGAATTTTGACACACCTTTCCGTGATCTGCACAGTCAGAACTAAAAAAAACATGTATTTTTCTGATCTGTGGTATGTTTTACTGTAGTTTTACTGAAGTATTTAACAAATGTAAAGTTCAAGCCGGACGAAACAATGACAAGAGCTTTTCCTCTGTACTTGATCCGACAACATAGTTTTAGTTACTTCACACATCACGATGCTTGATTACATTATGATATGGTGTCACAATATTATTGGCAGCTAATGCAATGTATTTTTTTTTTCGTATGATTATTCTATAGCGCGCTTCTTCTGTTACATATTATTCTGATAGGTGGACGAGCGGCTCAAGACGCTTGCATAGGCAATCAAAGTTGATTAACGTCGAGTTTATTAAGATATGTGATCGCCCAAACTGTATGTTAATTCTATCAGTTTAAAATATAAATTGAATTCCTTTGTTGAACCTACGACTTCGAACTATGGGGGACAGCTAAATTTTCGAATATCAAACGCATCCAACCCTACCAGACAAAAGTCCTCCGTATAATAGTCAATGCTCCTTATTATATTACAAACAAAACATTACATCATGGACTTAACATCTCTTATGTCCTCGACGTTTTTTCATTTCGATTCTCAAATTTTCATCCGCATCTTATCCACCATCTTAATCCCTTAGCACAATCCTTATCTAGTTCCAGTCATCCATACAATCCTCTTCGAAGGTTAAAACGGCAGTGGCACTGACGACTTTCTCCTTCCAAGACATGAGCGTCTTTTAATTAAGTATGACTGTTAGTTTTGTTTTTCTTTGTTTGCTTTATATATTTATTAATTTAAATTAATTTATTTTTATTTTATTTTCTAAGAATTTCTGTATTAGCTTATTTCATTTCAAGTTACATTCATTTTGTTTTTATTACAGTTTTTTTCTTTGTGAAAAATCTATTTATTTTTTTAATGTTTATATGTATTATATATATATATATATATATATATATATATATATGGTATTATTGTCCTTCAATCAGCTATAATATTCAGTGTCCTTAGGTGTGGCAAGTGTATTATTTCCTAATAAAAAGATTTTTTTTTAAAATCCGTTTGTTAATCAAATAATTAATTTTTGAACTACTAATTTTAATAATTAATTTTACCTACTTTCTTTTGTACACCTTATGAGGGCGGAAGTCCCAGGCTCCCGCCTTGGTCATTCCAATTTAAGAGATTCGATTGTAGTTATCTGTAGCTAACGGTAAGAAAGTCAAACTGAGGCAGGCGCTCTGATATACCTTACCGCATTACAAACGATCACCGAAAAGACCCATCAACATTATTAATATAAAATAAACTAAAAAAAAGGAATAATCATAATAATAAATATCAAAGTGTTAGAAAAATATTACAAAAATAACTTATAAAATCCCTCTGAGGCGTCTGAACAGAAGATGGCCTCGTGATCTACTTATGTAAATATATTATTAGAGTGCTACCAATGGGTAGTTTCTCAACAAGCGTTCTCATGTGATTGTATTATTACTGTGTGCACATTTACTAGTTGTATTTATTTATAATACTGTTGTAAATATCAATAGATAAAAAAAAAGCTTATAAAATACAATATTTAAGAACGGGCAAATATTTGCTAGAAAAAATTAAAATATTCACTTGTATATATGAAATAGAAGGAAAACAACAGGTAAATAATAAAAAAAAATAAATGAAATACATACAAGCAAAATAAACATAAAGACAAATGAAATAATGTAACACAGACAATATATAATTTTAATGTGTGGGAACAATACCATATTTCCTTATTTATTTTCAATTTCATGTGGAAATCAATTATTTAAATCTTTTTAAATTTATTTTAGATTGATGTTTGTTTTAAATTGTTGTTTCTGTTTTTACTCACAACAGGCAATTAACGTGTCACTCAAATTTCTCCCCTTTAAAAAATAAACGGAGGGGCAACCTTGTAATTATTATTTGCTGTTATATTTGTTTGTAGATGTTATTAACTCGCATAAAGTCGTGTAAAATATGATAATATTTAATCCAGCAATCGTCATTACCAACTAATATTGATATTGTACAATAATTCTCAGCTTAATATCACATAAGCGCAATGTGACAGAGAGAAATACAATGGCATGTAAAGACATTTCAATGTTAACTTAGTATGTAGAACATTATATTCCATGTACTGTAAAAATAAAACTATACATTGTGCAATACATTCCATAGTTTTCTTTGTTAATCAGAATTTTTTCAGAGTTAAAATTTTAGAGTTTTTATTCACAATTTAAAGAAACCTTTACTAAGAAGAAGTTACGTGATATTTTTTTTTATGTATCAAATCTTAATAATTACTATAAATGGATATACAAACAAAAATTTTTTTATACTATGTTTCGAATATTAAATTTTTAAATCATGGATTACATAAAATTAAACTGTTTTAGAGATCTAATTCCCTATTTAAAAAAAAAAAAGAAAAGAAAAATCATATCGGACAATATTTTACGTACCCGAACAGCTCGTATTGGTAAGGAAGAAAAAAATCATACCTGCAAAAAAAAAAAAAAATTAACACTGAATATATTAAATTTTATTTAATATTCCAATTAATCAATTTTTAATTAATGTTTCATATTATATTTATATATATTATTATAGCAATTTATATAGCAATTATATTATATATTATTGCTATAATATTATTTATATTATATTATATTTATTTTATATCATATTTTAATTAATATTCTAATTAAAATATTTTAAGCATGAAAAGGCGTGCTTAACTTTTTTTTTCAGAAATATTAAGCAATTATAATAATTTATTACTTTGAGATCTCCTTTCCTGAACAAAGGAAGTAAACCCAAGAACAGAAGGAGGTGTTATTATTTTTCCCTCATTCCTAAAATGCCATTTTTTTTATTAGTTACAGCATATCAGCGTATTGTTTAGCTTATGACAAGTGTGGAAGGAAATATGAAGTAAAACAAATTATAGTTGATGTCATATCAGTAATAAATGACGTAATCCAATGCCGAATGAGGCATTTTAAAAACAAAGAAAGGAATCTCTACTTCCGTTAGATGATATTTTTTTTATAAAGATAATCACTATCTCTTAAGTCTTAATTCTCAAGCAACTATTTTTTTTTTATATATCAGAATTACTAAGGAAAAGATGCTTTTCAATTATAAATACGTCGCACCATTTTAACTATTCCTTATAAAAATAATTATATCAGGTAACAAATAAAAGCATATCAGCATTTTTTAAATATGTTTGTAAAAAAGAAATTAGTTTCAGTAATTAATTTATTAAAATGCAAAGGAAGATAAATGGTTTATAAGTTTATTGTAGTTTATAATTTTTTCAGACATCACCTCTTCTATGAGGAGAAAAAACTTCACATAAAATATTTTTTTACAAAAACAAAAATTTGTTTAAAACCTCAACTTATTTAATATATACTTAAAGTTCAAAATTAAAAATATATCTTAGTTTAAGAAGGGAGTTCTTCTTAAACTAAGGAGACTGTAGTTCAATATGAAGTTGATAAGAAAATAAATAAATAGTCAGGAATAATCTTTGATTTTATGAAAAACATAAATTAGCGTAGTTTGTTTAGGTGTTTTTTAATAGCAATTCAAAAGTAAACAAAGCGAATTCCACTTACGTTGAAAAAAAAACTTAATATAATTTACAATGTTTTTTAAGTTATCGCTTTCAATTCAATGAATAACGTGCCATTTAAATAACCACAACATGTAAATTTCCTGTTTTTCTTAGTT